ACCGCGAATCAGCATTCGTAGAAATTAGTCTTTTTCCGATTCTACAGCGATTACTGTTGCCTTTTTCATAATGCCTTCCGAAGTTCGACGTACTTGACAGCTCGTCAAAATCATTAGTATCTCTTGAACGTCGAATTTCATTGGGTGCCATCGTTGAGTGGGCAGAACTGACCGGTCACGACCAAATTTTGTCAGTTTTCTTTTCCGTCGTTCATCAAACGGCCGCCATCAGATTTCTTAACATCAGATGGCAAGAAAAAACACTGAGCTGAGACCTTCAATTACAACAGAGAGAAATAGCACTCAACGCGAGAAGAGAATGTGGCAGAGGTTGTTGACGAGTGGACTCAGAGCGCATGAACTCACTCTTATCTGTCGTCCATATGTCAAGCGACATTGAAACATTTCTTAGGAATTTGCAAGAGAGACAAAGAAAAATTAAGTGGGAAGGAACAAGTTTGAGACAGAAAAAGGAGGCATTGTTACCCAAAACAGCTGATGAAATGAATGAGTCAGGTGATTCTCATGAAAGAACAGGAGCTACAAAAAGCGAAGCTATGATTGAACGAATGTAATCGAAAGAGAAGAAAGGAGGTCACAGTAGACTTCGATGCCTTTTATACTTTTCTATACATCGGACGAACGCCTGGATGAAGTCGCGGTTACAGTAATTTACCCATGGGTCGAACCTCTCAATCAAATCAACAACGTCTCCACTCCACTAACAATAAGATGACTAAGCTCGCACACCTTTCTTTGATAGCATGCGAAACACAATAGTTGGCGCACTTCGACTTGATAGGGGCATTCTGCTTGTTCCCATTCCATCACTGTCGACGCCTCCTGTGAACACTGCGAACTTTTGTTGAGGTGCGGGCTTCGTTTACACTGAACAATAGCTTACAGGTCTCACTTAGATGAGACAATAAATCAGCAGGACCTTGTAACGGTATACTAGCAATTCGAGCGTCTAGTAAAAGAATCAAAAGAATGTCCCCCCCCCCTCCCCCACACCTACTAAGATAGAAACGGGAGCAAAATATTAGTTTGAATACTGTACTGCCATCGAGGTTTAGTCAAATGCCAATTAAGACTGGCCATAAGTTTTCTTAGACCAGACTTCATGTCAAAAAACGTATTGGATGGTACGCAATGATTCTCGTTGACTATTGATATGATCCTGTCGAATAGGGCGTTTGTATCACAAGATGCTGAGTGTGGGCAGAAACCTCATGCCCCAGGCGCGGCAGTCGCAACCTCACCCTAGCGCACCCGACGAACGGGATGCGATCTTCCGTTACGCCACCAGGGCCGCTTTTACCCTCTCAGCTTAACGGCTTTTATGCCGTAGCCTTACAGCACTCACACGTTCACCTTGGTGATCATAACAGATAACGTGTGTTAGGTGCATGGATAGAGGGCAGCCAGATAGAGCTTCCCATCAGCTGTAGGTCAGGGTGGCACATCATTGGTGGAAAAAGGATGCCCTGGCTGCGCCTGCAATCCGCGCGCGTCACCACATGCCTTATTGTGGCATAGATCCAAGACTCTCACTTTCCTCCCAGCACTCTGCAGCTCATGGATGTCAACCAAGTGTACAGCGAGAGGGGGAGAGGGCGAAATAAACATACTTGCGCGAGTCACCATCTAGTACCTTTGAGTACTAGGACAGACAGACAGAGTAGGCAGTACCAGGGCGGAACGCATACGACGATATTCCTCTCATGGGCACGAGAGCAGAGCAGGAGCGAAACAGGGTGTATCACTGACCTGGATCCCTCTCGATTACCGCGCTGTTCGGGAAGCTTCAAACAGCTGGATCCTCGGTTGTCGTGGTGAATCTGCCACGTCGGGGAGACAGATATCAACGAGTCCTAACTCGGCACGAAATCACGGTGCTTGCAGAATGCCGATCGCGTTCATCCAGAGGTGCAGCTGAGTTTCGGTAATTCGTGTGCTACATGTGGTTATTGATTTGTTGGTGATAATGTCAATCGGACATTTGAATAAGATGTGACTTATATCGGCTCGGAAGTCTGAGGAAAAGGGTGTCTTTCTCTCCCTCCCCTGTTAGGCTGAGTAGTAGGCAACGAGCAAAGAGTGCTCGGATACTGTTCAAAGCTTAGTTCATCCCCCTCAGAACGGCTTAAGTGAAGAGAGAGAGCCAGCCACAACTAGATGGCAGAGCTCAATACCTCATGTAACACTTTAATATCACAGCAATTTGTCTGGGCCGCATCAGCCGAGTTTACACACAGCGGGTGTCCATTCATGGGTTCTCGCCCTCCTGGAATCGGATTTCTACCCTATGCCAGCGGTAGAGCAGAAGCGAACGCGACTTTTTTCTAACGCGCTGCTCACGCCGCCTCGACAGTCCGCCTTGATGAGCACTGCATAGACTGTACATCTGCGTCTCCACTAAGAGAAGTGGCCAGCACATCGAGTAATATATTCAAAAAGCAAAATCGCTAGAAGGGCGAACTGAACTGCAAGCTGCATTGAGACCCGTGCCTCGAGCCGGGCAATAATTTTGTCTGGATCTCTCCAATGACTAAGACCATTGGAGAGATCAGACAAAAGTAGTCTGGACGAGCTCACCAAACTTAACCACACGACAAACACCCTACCGCATTCCTGCTAGGAGGCACTCTGCGCACCAGTAGAACACACTTGCAGCGTCGCAACGCACCCTTACAACCTTCTTTCGCGAAAGTGATAAGTGGATGTCCACTGCTACTCCCTACCTCCCCACACAGGTATTTGGTTCCCAAAAGCTGGAGATGTCGTACACATCAGTTCCACAGACCAACTTTTGAGAAAGCTCTTCGTCTCACTCACTTTAGATGTAGGGGACTTCAGTGTAGGTGAGCCACTTGATACTTGTGAATGGAATATGTGAATTCACAATGGCCATAGAATACTATACGGACAAGAGAGTGCAGAGAAAACCAGAAGTTCGATTCATTTAGAAAGATCAGATTCAAGTTGCCTGTAGACCTTCACCCCTCAAATCGAGTTCTGTGGCCGTTCATACCTCGCCTTCCCTCTGTCAATGTAGCCTCCTTGAAGCGATGGCACCAGCGGAAGATTGTCCGGTAACAGCTGGGCCGGCTCTTATGATTATGATTCTTGATCGAAACGTCCTTACGACACACTGAACAAGCAAATTTCAGAGAAATTACCCTCCTTCACAAGCGCTTTCTGATCTGTTTATTGTGAAGTGATCTTTAATGCTCTAACAGTATCAATACAATTACATTTAATGATCTAACAGTAACAATACAATCAAGTGCAATAATGGGTTCACAAGGAGAAAAAGAAAATTGGCGCAGTTTGGCGACGGGGGGGGCATACTGCACTTCTATAAGTTCCCATCGACGTGTCGACCCATCTAGACAGCCTTTTCTTGAGTTGACAGGTTTTACCATGGTGGCTCGACGAGCTTGCTCCAGCTTCACAAGAGTTCACAGGTTTCACCAGAGTGAGACTTGTAAACCGGAACTAGTGAAGCAGCGAAACTGCAAAATGCCCCCCGTTGCCTTACTGCGCCGAAAATTTCTTTCTCTCTTGATCAATCCCTTTTCGGATAGCGCACGTATTCCAGCTACGTTTAGAATCGTAGTGTAATTGAAGACGGTATGGCCTACACAATGACTTTTGGGGACCAATCAGTGCACAAGTCAGGGTTTTAATACTCCCAGACGGACCTGGAACAAACTTACCGTCCTATTAGGGTAGGAGCCATGATTGACCTGGAACAGAGCCGATCCGGGATTCAACACCAGACCGCGCAGGTGCGTGGTAATCGGGCATTTCACCATCTCCGCCCTCCCCATCGGAGTATGCAAAAATGATAAAATAGATAAATATAAAATTAATACATCAAATTAACAGATATAAATGTTGCCAAACGTATTGTAAGGCTCCCTATCAAGCTGATATCAGCGGCTGCTTCACATTGGTCTCAGCAGCTTTCATATTCAGCAAGAGTGGAAGAGGGAACCTATGAGATGGCACTAGTGCTGTCAGTCCTGGACGAGAGAAGGACGTGAAAGCAACTGAATTTCATTAATAGCAAGAGTTAGAGGGCAGTCCGACTGGGGGGGGGGCAGCTGGCCTATCTCCCCATCGTCGTGTTCATTGCTTTACATGAGTTAACAGGATTGACAAGTGGACACTGCAAACTTTGACTGTATAACTTCGTGGCTTCACGAGACTTCACAGAATGCTTTACAACAGTTGACAGGTATTCTTTACACTGGCTTGACGTGAAGATGGGAAGTACCGAGTGTGCAAAATGCACCCCCTCGCTCTACCCCCTCCCCCCCCCCCCCCACCCCCAAGCCAGACCGTGCCGAGTTTCACCTTCGGCATTACTGTTGATATAATCGGTCAGACGTCACACTGCAAAGAAAAATCGGATATTTTCGTTCGAAAAATATATTGGTGCGAACAAAGATAGCCGCCAATCTCATAATTATGCAGTAATTCCTAAGTTATTACTTAAATTCGTATTTTGCCTCCATCTCTACCAGAGTTCAGTGGATGAAGTGGCAATACGGATTCGAAAAAAAACTTTATGAGTTCTCTGCTGCAGACCAGTTTGTTGATCGCATTGATCAGTTAGTAGAAAAACTGACAGCATGATACTTTTTACCCAAAAACAAGTTTAGCGGGGAAGTTCTCGGTCCACTGGTGATTTTTTCCCCGTGACGCCATCGTTTGTGTTGTCAGATTGATTTTTCTCCATCAAAAACGTCTAAAACACACTGCAAAGCCTTCATCAATTGTGTGTGACCTCAGTGACTGCCTGACTGCCTGCTGAATCTCACTCGCCGCGAAAAAAAAACGACTTGAAACCGACAGCGTGACCGTGACCGGGGTTGTTCTCGCGCAAATATTCAGAAGTTCAATGAGAAGTGGGTGTTTAATAGACACTACGGGAAAACGCCATAAAAGGCCGTTCACAACCGTTGATGGTAGGTTCGACAGCAACAGCCATGGAAGATCTCAAACCTCGCTTGGCTGCCTATCGCTTCGTCGCCTATTCGGCGGTCATTTTCTCGGTGATAGCAGTATTGTCCATTTGTATTACATTACCCATGGTCTATAATTATATACATCATGTAAAAAAGTCTCTTCGAAGCGATATCAAATTCTGTAGGGTGAGTTCACATGACCCTTTCGGGTTCTCCCACTTCAAAGGTTCCTGGTTGAAACCATTCCTGTTTCCAGGGTTCAGCACGAGACATCTGGGATGAGGTGAACTTCATTCAAAACTCTCCGCCTGCAAATCGTACACGCCGTCAAGCTGACCCTTGTGCTCAGTGCTGTCTGCCAGGTCCAGCTGGTCCCCGTGGGACCTGCAGGAAGACCTGGCCGACCTGGAGCACCTGGAGTCCCCGGAATGCCAGGCCACCCTGGACGACCTCCAGCGATCCCTTGCGAACCGATAACGCCACCGCCGTGCCCTCCTTGCGAAGGTGGTCCACCTGGACCACCTGGACCTGCCGGACCACCTGGACCAGCTGGAGCTCCTGGTCAGGCCGGAGCAGCAGTAGCCAGCCCTCCTGGACCTCCAGGACCAAAAGGTCCACCTGGTGCGCCCGGAAATCCTGGAGCACCAGGCCAGCCCGGCGCTCCTGGTCAAGATGCCGCAGGTGGTTACGCTGGCGCCGGAGCACCAGGACCTGCAGGACCACCAGGACCACCTGGTCCTCCTGGACCCGATGGACACCCTGCAGTTGGCGGAGGCGCTGGTAAGTTTTCACAGTACTTCTAAATATATAATGCAAGTAAACGTAATCATATGATCGTGTCATTCAGGTGCTCCTGGACCAAAAGGTCCACCTGGACCTCCTGGAATGCCCGGACCTCCTGGAAATCCTGGTGCACCTGGTCAGCCTGGTGCTCCTGGACATGGTGGAGAGCGTGGAATCTGTCCGAAGTATTGTGCTATCGATGGTGGTGTATTCTTCGACGATGGCAGCTTCCGACGACGTCGTTAGATGGATTGCAAACGGAGTTGTTCACTTACATTTGTTCAATTCACGTGCGATTCTCTAGTGATAGACTCGATAAATGTAGCAAAGCTGATCATCACAGTCATCACACGTAAAGAGTCTGAATTCTCTGAAACTAAAGGATTTTCAGCTCAATTGTCAGCTGATTTTCCTTAAGAAAGCCGTCGGATAGGGTATAATTCGTGGGTTTGTGCTTTCACAGTCAGCAGGTGTGGTAGCACCGACAGAGAGCGCCGCAACTCTCACTTTCCAGAAGTTCTGAAGGACATTACACCGCGACCACAACTCGTAGATCGGTTTGCGAAGCAGCTCATGCATAAGAACGTCTTTTGCGGAACAATTATTTTACGGACTATTCCCTGATTTCTCGAAATACAGGAAGCT